CGTTTCGGCGAAGACGCGCGCTGGCACCAACCCCCGGATCCTCGCCTTACCCCGAATCCACCGCAATCAGGTGTACGCGCGTATGTATACCGTTATTACTCGTGGCAGCCAGCCACTGAAACGTTCAATTATCTACGCCGGCCGCGTCACGGCCCATTGGCTGCCTTATTCGGCCGCTGAAAAGAGGCTGCCTCGGAAGGTTAGCCTGAATGAACGTCAAACGTCCCTCGTCCGAAGAAGACCGGCCGTCTCCTCCCACCTCGCAGAGCTCCGGGCCTCACACTCCTCGTCCCAGCTTTCATAGAGCTCGTTGATCGCGGGACGATGGCCGAGAGATCCACACGCAGCTAATCAGATCCTTCAGAAGCTCGCCCCCTTTATTCATTGTATGTCCACTTTCTAACCGGTGTGTATTTTGACGCGTCGAAGAATGACGGACCAATTACGGGGGACCGGGGGTACCTGACACCTGAATACGCGCATTCCTACGACGATCATTATACCCCTCGGTTCAGGGGTCTGCTGGTCTCAGAGTTAACGAGAGATAAATAGTCGGAGTGAGATGTTTTCGTGAAATCAATTTTAATCGAGGTCACACTCAGCACCGTGGAACGGGAAGTTAGATCGTGGTAATAGACACGTTTGCCATCTGTGAGATAAGTGTCTTGGATAGGTATAATTCGAGTAACGCGGATGTAATTGAAGGAGTAATCTGTGAACCTTAACACTAGAACTATCGTACCAGTTATTCTGAGTGGTTCCGGTTCTTTCGTTTCCTTCGCAATTATTGTGATCTCCAAAACGTTGGAGACTCGGAATGATTGTGAAAATAAATAGCGTCGCTTAAACACTGTAATGAATGTCTGAAGAAACTAAAGGGAATCTATTCTTCTACTCTAAATTAACAGCAGGTCTTGATCATGTCACTCGGTCGAAGTTCCATATCCGAGTAAGCGGATGCTTATGAATATTGCGCGTTCAAGGGCCTAATATCTACTCGCGTGGACTGCGAGCACAGCTTTAAGATGGCAATAAACGCAACACGCTCGTGTAACTACGCGGGATTCTTCGTCTCCAGTGTTTTGCGTCTGTATACTCTCCGTGCTGCTCCTTCTCCTTCGAATGGAGCCGGGACGCCTGCAAAGTTAGGCGAATGAAAAAAGTTGGCGGGAGCCCTCAAGGGAGCACCGGCGAGTAGTTAGCGGACTTCGGAATAATCTTCATTGAAAAAGTTTGTCCAAACCTTAGAGCGCCGCGCGGTTCGCCGGATATGAAGGGGCAAGCCACGGTATCTTCCGGAGAGACGCGGTAACCGCGGCTCGCCGGGGTGAGTCGATCTTCTTTCAGTAAATTTTCATCGCGTCTTCGGAAGTACTTCGATTCGAATGGTATCTTCGGGTCAACACAGCTGCGCCATTTGCATTTCCCCTAATCTCTAAATCCGCCGCCTCGAAACACAATCCGAGAACACTTCCACGCCTAATATCGCCGCGTAGTTTGTAGAGGCTCGTTTTTCAAGGGGTGATTTTTCGGTTAAATTCCCTCGTGTCAGTTTCCTCGGCCAGGTAGAAACGCGTCCTCGCCTCGCGCGGAGAGCTTTCGCCTCGTTCCTTTCGGCGAGAACAAAGGGAAGTTCCGCTCCACTTATAAACACGCTTCACGAGCCCTTCGTAAACAAATGCAGCGAGTCCTTTGAGAACCGTGACGGGGAGTAGCATCTGCGGCCTAGCTTGAGGACATCTTTCCGGCTGCAGGTGAAAATACCGTAGCGTCCATTCGAGACGAGATTGTATCCGTAATCCGGATGCCATCGTTGAGTCTTTTTGTGTGTTTTTATCCGATATCAAAGGAAGTTCCAATTCCTTTGGGAATAATAATAGTTTAATGTATAATAGGAGACTGTAGCTGTATTTTGTCCACTCGTATGCAATGATATTCGCTTGGAAAATCTTGGTGGATTTCGCATTATAACGACGCCAGTGAATTTTCACTTTCGCCAGGGAAGTTTTCCATTAATCAGGCGCGACGATCTTCAATTATCGAAAATCGAGGGCCGAATATTGAAAACCGGAGTGACTGAATGATCGATGCCTATAAAATCCGCGCATAATCGGTCACGGTTCCGACTCGTTACGGCGGCGATTGCCTGAGACAAATAACTCCGGGATGATTGACAGGCATTATATGAAATTTCGAGTGGCTGACTAATAGCTAGAACACGATACACGAGGCTGCATGCATGGTCGGCCGCGTGCATTCACATCTGCTTCCACATTAATGGGAGAGCGGTTAAGTGCTCGATTCGACCCCGTGAAGTCAAGGTCGTAGGACGCACGACCGACCGCATAATTAGGAATAATGCGCTGGAAGGGTGTGTACTTCGCATAACGTGCATACGAATTATTTGCGTAATGTTCAAACTTTTGATTTTTACGCTAGGCATCGATGAACCCGTGAAGCCTGACGCATTCGACTAACAGACGAAGATCCACTTATATTTTTGAAGTTTTCTTAAATATTCTCGGTATATTTGATTCGTATTATAGGAAAATCTTATTGGTTTCCACGAAGGGACCGGAAGAATTTATTTAGAAAATCCCTTGGCTAGAATCGGGGTGCGCAACTTACGACATTTAATAATTTGGTTGACGCCATGAACATCTGCCGCTCTCCCGACAACCCTTTGCGAGCTCCTAAACCATCACCCACCCCCTTCACCTTTCGCGCCCGTACTTTCTATCACGGTGTTGTTTAATTAATCATGTTGTATTAATAAAAGCGCGCCTAATTGAATTCGCTGATTTCACACCGTTAATACGCGTTTCATTTAAATTGAATGAAGTATCGTTCGAACCCCGCCGGTCTCCTACTACCCCTATTTTGTCCACCCACTGCCCCCGTCCAACCGTCGACGTCGCCTTGAAACCGGAGCCACCCTCAAATCGTTCTTTTTCTCTCGCTGTTTTATTGATCTTCATTCCCTCCGGCTACAGTCCTCTAAAACGGTTTACTAAAAGGTAACCTATTTTTCATCGACGCCTTAGCTCGGATATCACCGAACGAGATCATGCTTGTCGGGCACGAATTCGTATACCTGAATCTTTATATTCTACTTCACTGTCGACAAACAATGCGTTGCGACACTGTATCTCATCGAGAATTGTTTGAAACCCGTTTCTTCTACAAAGTGATACAGATACAACAACAATTTTCTAATGAAGGAAGTACATGGTATTAAAGAACGAATTACAGCGGACGGAAATCTACACCGTTTATTACCTCATTCTACAGGGTTCTATTAATATTGTTATAGCTAAATAGAAGGTAGATGCGAGACGTCAATTTCCATTTAGAATGATGTTTATCGCGTTAATTGAAGTTTAAAAATGTGAAATTAAACATTTCGCGAAAGTGAGCTGTAACGTTGATCATTATACATTCCAGGGGAATTCATAATGCCACGGTAATACCTAGTAACATGTGTACCAAGATCCAGTGGCGCTGAACGCAATCCACCGAGGGCCAAGGGGAAGTCCCGAGTAAGATGAATAATAGGGTAAGATGGCGAAGTCCTTAATTAGAGTGATTAAGTTCCAGGTGGTAGTAGGCATCTATCTTGGTAGACACGGCTGACTGTTTATAAGTGGAAAATGTAAGACATAGCAGACGGGCTGTAACGGTGCTGCGGAAAATCAAGCCCCCAGGCTTTCACGTAATAATAAC